AATAATACAGAATTAGCCACTAAATGTGTATGTTGGCACTAAATGTATATATTGGCATGTTGCTCTCTAATGGCTGTATGAAACTGCAAAAATATTCTGTAGGTGAGAGGGTTTTTTTATTGCCTTGTGCAAAAGGGGTCTGTGGTTTTGGAAATATAAAACCAGATTTCTATTCCTGGCTCTGCAGGTGTTTGATTTATTGTGGAGAAGTGTCAGCCTCTTCACATTTAGGTCTGATTTTGTGATTTTGTTCCCTTTATACTCTAGATTGCAATAATTCTCTTTCAAATTGATTAAAACCTCTATACTTAGGCTAGCTGTAAAACTAAACTATTGTTGCTTACTAGTAAATCCCTTTGAGATCTGGCTGGGAGGTACTAGTAGATTGATGTTTGCAGAATCAAGAGCTCTGAGCGCTCGATGAGTTTTACCAACATTTATAGTGAAAGTAGGCTGGACTGCACATGCATTCATGGCTAACTTAGTTGTATGGTGAACATGAATAATAGTATATGTCATCAGTCAGGCTTTCGGTGTTGTCCCAGTGGGTTCCTGACAGGTCCTCTACTCCATTGGTGATGATAAACTTTCGGATGCATGCATGCGTGTGCTCCCTCTATCTAAAGCATTAAACCCTGTGCACTTGGGTCAACACAGTAGACTTCTGAGAGCCCCAGAATTGACAGATTCAGGCAAGGATGAAACCAATCCAGTAGGTTTATTGCCAATGACATGAATTTATAGTTGTTAGCAGACCGACTCAATGCTAAGCCACTGTGCATTCTGTAAGCCTAGGTAATACCCCCACAAATAAAAGCACATAAAGCACCCCCATCCAGGGTCAGTCGGCACTCACTCTTTGTGGTACCCTTTTATAGACATGTACAAACAAGTTACATCACTTTTTTACCTGGTTGCCACCCTCTGTTACATAGTTATCACCCCTCACCTTGCAAAAGGGGGGCTTACTTACTACGCTTCATGCTATCAGCTTCATCCCGGTACTAAATCTAGGTCGGTACGTACATTAGTTTTTGGGGAGTGAGTTGATACCAAGACATTTCTTACTAAGTTGTGTACTCCCCTCTGGCTTACAATCGGTACCAAATGACTCCCTATGTCCTTCCATGCTTGACCTAACTTACACAATCATACAATTATCAATAGGACTTCTTTCTTGGCTGCCATGTTACTGAGCCAAAGTCTTGCTCCCTAGATTCCAGGCCTGTTGCTGTTTTTATGTTACAGGCCTTTATTCAGGCCTACTGACTCCATGTTACCAACTCTCAACTTACTACAGTATAGTAGGTACAAATGAATATAAGGGAGGTTTGGGGAGCTATGATCTCTCAATGTGCATGTTTCGAGATCTACTAAGGCAATTCTGTCAAATCTGCGGAGAGGTTTCGGTTGAGTTTCTGGTACATGCTTTGGTTGACTCTCATTTAATATAAAATGGTTCACACATCCTAAGGTGTGATGAGATTATCAAATATTTTATTTTGGTAGTTTTAGACAGCTGTGTTCCTATACTTCATGAGAGTGATTACTAAAGTCAGTGATCATGAACTCATGTCTTTTGCCTAATAATCCATTTTAGACATGTATGTGTCCTGATTTATAGAAGGACTGAGCTCTTCTGATGAATGTACTGGGATTTTCAGCACCTTTGAAAGTGAAGGTACCTGTGTCGAAGCCTAAGTATTTAGGTATTCGTGCTTAAGCAAATGTCCATCATTTGTAACATAACGGCAATGGTACTCTTAATATCATTCTTAGCCTGAAGACTGATTGGACATTAGTAATAGTGGACATCAATAACATGGATCGGTCAGAAAAATATATAGATTGAATCAGATTATCAGAGATGAGGTTTCATAATTAGTTAAAAAAAGAATAATAGTGGACAAAACACCTATCACTCAGGAGTATATTTTAATGTGGGAGAAAGGTTTTCTAAAATGCTCAAATGTAAATAGCTCATTATTCTTTATTCAGCATGGGTATATCTTATATGTAACATCTTGTGTTTCATTCTTGTATACACACTTGGGAGTAAGGGTATCTGAAGACTCATCAGTATAATAATTCATAAAATCTAGGCAGTGAACTCAGCTACAATTAAATATTCACCAGATACTCTATTGCTAGTTAGATTCATATAGTAGTTATGAAAGATTAATTCAGTGCTAAATTTCTATTTAATGAGGGAGTAGAAGTAAGCATCACAGTCTAAAATTACTGATTTCAGGTTTAGAAGATTACATTTTTATTATGCTTTGTAAAGGGCACATATGACAGATGATCTTCAGATAATTTATAACTTTTAAAATTGTTCTCTTTTAGGATATCTTTCCAAATGCTTTAGCTACAGATTTTGATACCAGTTGAGTTGAGGTGCTTTCCTTGTAAGAAATTATTTGCATAGTTATGTCTCTAGGAAGGGATATTTGTAAGTACTATCCCACTACACATCAGCCTCCCTTCCCCACTGTCTTTTGCATCCCTTCCATCCCAACTTGCATTCATTTTATAGAAGGTTAATTCATGGTTTTGCTTGAGACGCCTTAGCATAACAACGGCAATTCAGGAACAAGCCATAATGTTCAGGTTGGTGTCTTAATGTTGAAATAAAGTGTCATAAGCTCAAATAGTTAGCAAAACATATCTTAATGGACAATGGAAAATGTTACTTGTTGGTTGCTATGTACAGTACTACCATTTGAATGCAGGAGGTTGATCTAGCAGGATGCTTTGGTGCAATACCACTAATGACATGATGAAGGAACATTGCAAAAAGATCTGGGGCTTGGTATGACCTGCCAACCATTTTTTGAGTTAAATTTTAATAATACAGGTTGGCTCTCCCTCGTTTGGCACCCTAGGGACCTGTCCAGTCCCAAAAGATGGGATTTGCCAGACCAGGGGAGGTCCCTCTCTCCTGGCCTATGCTAAACATCTACCCTCCTCCACCCTCCGCTAGGGCTCCAGCCTGCCCTTCTGCTGCGTGGCCAGCTGTCACTCCTTGGTCCAGAGCTCTCCAGGTCCCACTGGCCCCACTTCTGTGGGGCCGGAGCTGCACTGCTGGGGCCGGAGCTAGAGCTCGGACTGTGAGGCCGGGGCAGAGGCTGCAAGGCCAGGGCCTGCGCTCCCTGACTGCTACTAGGACCAGAGCTGCATGGCCGCTGCTGGCCACCTGCTATTGCCCAGCTGCTGGGATCAAGTCTCCCTGCTGTGCTTCCCACCTCTCCCACCCGGGGCACACAGCTGAGTCACTGGCCCACACTGTCACACTCCTGCCAAGGTGGCCAGACCTCCCTATACCAGGTATCTGTGGTCCAGGAACATCTATGGTCTTGCCAAACCACGGATGTTGCTGGACCAGAGAGTCCTGGTGAAGGGAGGTACAATCTATATTAGTAAAAGTGAGTTTTCCTTTAAACCTTCCGTTAAAAGGTTTTATTAAAGTGCTACTCACAGGATATTTAGTGTTAGATTGTCCTGGACTACAATCTCATTCAAGGAAATAAGACTGTTCCTCCTGTCCTTAAGCAGACTATCTAGATTTGGGGTCCAAATTCTCAGGAATAGAAGCATGTCTTACTCCCTCCTTGGCATGTAGGGGGAATTATAGGGAAGGAGCAGAATCCTGGTTCTGTCTGTCTATCGGCTCATTTAGTGAAAGGGAGACTGATTATGTACACTCAGGATTACTGAATTAAAAAAAAAAACTCTGCTAAAAAGAAGTGCCACTTGTAGTATAGTCCATGTCATTCAGCCACCAGAGCAGGAATAATTACTACTGTGTTTTCTCATCCTCATGTACCAGTCAGTGCTATTATTCTTCACATCAGTTGCTTCCTTAAGGATGGAAAAACGGAAGCATTTAAATTCAAGAATCTTTTCTGTTTTGAAACAATTAATTTTTGCACACTCAATTGTTAGAAAGCCAGCAACAGCATTGGAGTCTTATACCCTTAGCAGCAGGCACAACAGTTAAATACAAAAGCAAGGGGGGGCAAGAGAAAAGGATTTCTGCTAGAAATGACGAAAATAAATGCTGTGGATTAAATACAAAATGTGTATGGATGGGCATGTTAAATAATATTGTATCCATAAAAACTGAAATTAATTTAAATTGCCTACTGAGCCAGAAAAAGCTAAGAAAGCTAGGAATACTGTGGAGTTGGTTCTCTATGATGCCGACTGAAAGGGTCTTCCTTTTATCATGAGATGCCTGTTTACTACTTAGCAGTGCCATTTCTGTGCTGTAAAGAGAGCTCAATTTCTCTCTCCTGGTAAAGAGATCTTCCTGGTAAGAAGATAGATGGGGCAGCATAAAGTCTGTTTTCATTTAGGAGAAAAGTAAAGCTATATGAAAATTTAGGTTCAACTTTAGATTCCACAACCACTGGTACGCATGATTAAATTATCCAATCTGGTACATCCAGTTCAATTTGCCAGGAAATAATGTCAAATGGAGTCTGGGGTTTGGAATAGATAGTAGTTCCTGCAGACAGGGTGGGGGGTTTTTAATGAATAATTAAGAAATACCCCAGAAATTATGTGAATGACTGGATTATAATGTCATTAGACTATTTGAAATCAGCACTATTGTATGTGAGCACTGTTTTGCACTTTGTCCTTCATATTCAGTAGCTCTCAAAAGACAGATTTGCAAATTGTGATTAGTAATGTATAAGTAACTTTCTTAACACATGTATGCCCATCACAATTTCTATGCACTATCACTTGTGCTCACAAGTATTAGAAGCTACAAACACAGTCCCCATTTTTATGTTTAAACCAAGCTCAAGTGGTTACTGCATATATAATTTCTATCATTTCAGCACACATATGGTAGAGCAAGAAAATTACAACAGAAATAATTTGAATATGCAAAGGATTATGTGACCACAGGGGTTGAGTTTAGGTTGACTTTCAAGTTAGGTCAAACTTAAATGCCAAAGCCTCAGTCAGTTCTGTCTTCTGTCTTTCAGGACTACAATGATGAAATCCGTCAGGAGCAATTGAGAGAATTGTCGTACTTGAATGGTTCTGAGGATTCAACACGTGGACGGGGCATTCGTGGAAGAGGAATCCGGGTACAACCTGCAGCTCCATCAAGGTGCTTTCTTATCTTATGCAGCCAGACATAGGAAACATAGCCTTTTGAAACATGCATAATATTTATAACCTGATTTTTGATATGGTCAGTAAGCAAAAATGTATTTTTTTGAACAACTTAAAAAAAACCTAGTAGTCCTGCGGCACCTTAGAGACTAACAAAAATACATGGTTGGTTCAGTCCCAAATTTTTGACCCAAAATTAACAGATGTTAGGGGCAGATCTCAGAGTCTAGCTGTATAAGTGAGGGTTTCAAATTCATGATCATGGGTGGAGCCAATTGCTGCCGCCACCAGTCACTAAACCCTGGTAATTCCTGAAGCAACTCCCTTGAGGGACAATGTGCAATGGGTGAGCAATGGCAAGCCAGTGGTGGAAGGGCCTGGACTTGGGGGAGATGTATGGACACGCCCTGCCTCCTGGCTGCTGGGACTCCTGGGCCGGATTGCAAAAATGCTCCAGCCATAGATGACTCATGGGCTGTGAGTTTGAGACCCCTGCTGTAGAGCCAGTGTATCTGTTTGGGGAAGAATTGTCCCAAGGTAAGGGATTTCTCCAATAGCAGTCTGTTTCACCTTCGCAAGCTGCATCGCTGGAGCTACTTCTGACCTGCTGAGTTCCAACTAACAGATAATACCCTGGGGTATTTGACAGCAGATGTAACTCAGAGCTATAATACTAGAGCATGCAGCCTGCTCCACACTGAGGAAATGGAAAAATTAAATTTGCACCCCTTCCAACTCTGCAGTGTAAGCTGTTTATCCATAATGGAAGATCAGAGCCATTTTCGTGGCAATGAAATGAATGCATTCGGTGCTACAGGCATTGTTAATTCCATAAAAGATAACATTATTCAATAAATAATATGTTGTTATACCAGATGTAGTATCAGTTCTAACTGGAGTAGCTAAACTTTGTGTCCTAGACATTGACTTGCAGAATCCTTCCAAGTACTACCTAATTCTCTGTATTTTCATGCTTTCACTATAACTATGAATCATTCTGATTAAAAATCCACTATATGTTTTAACTGGTATTGCTCCTTAAGACACACTTTTACTGTAAAGCCCACAAGGAATTTTCCATATAAAGCAATAATTTCACCCAGGTTGACCTCTGGATCTAAAGGATGGAGCTTAATATCAGGTTTTTTATTTAATTAAAAAGAAGCAAGCCAGCAAACAAACCTCAGCCTCCTTCATCCACCATATTTCAGACTAGTCTTCATTAATCTATTAATTTAATTTATGTTGTCCATATCCTCTGTTCCCCAAGATCCCCATACTCATTGTCCCCTTAAGTTCATTAGATCACATTTAATTATCCGTATTGTGCAGCACTTGGCCCACTCTTGGCCCAATGGCCCCCCTAAGTTCATTATATCACATTTAATTATCTGTATTGTACAGCACTTGGCCTACTCTTGCACACTAAAAAATAGTAAATAATTCTGATTGTTTTTCCTCCAAGTCTTGTATTCATTAAGATCTTTCTTATCCAGTTCATAACACTAGAGTTGGGATAATGTCCCATTAAAGCAGACTGTTCCAATATTGCTTCTGTGTCCTGTATTATATAGAAACAACAGTATCATTTTTATGCAGGTTTTTTGCCACCAACACTGAAAATATTAACTCAACATATTAAGAACTTGCTTGTCGTATTCTTCTGACTTGATTCAAAGGTAGCAAAAAGGATGTGAATTTTCTGTTATTTTAAAGGATATTGCTAAATGGTTTAACTTGCAAAATTCACTTTTTCCCACTACTGCAATCAGGTGAGGGGTATTTTTCCATGCTTAAAAAGAACCATCCTGTCAAGAATTTTCTGAAATACAATCATTACTGTCTTTGCAAGATTTTTTACACTGTTACTACAAAGTCACACCAAGGAAACAGAAAGTTAATGAGCATATCCTGTTCCCTTACACAATTGATTCACAAACAAAGAAGTAAATAAAGCAGATCTATATTAGATTGACTTTATTTTACAAAGTAAAAGCTAACAGAAAGGGTAAGAACATTTTCAAACTTTTTTGCCCTCACCATCTCCTATTTGTCAGTGTTAATGGCTCATATTCTTCATCTTCAAAGCACAGAGACAGTAAGACATAAGAATGGCAATACTGAGTCAGACCAATGATCCAGCATTCAGTCTTCCAACACTGGTCTTGCTTGTGTCCTCCTTCAGTGTCTCAAACCACCTTTTTACTGGTCTTCCTCATAGTTGTCCCATGATTATTAGATCTTATACTTTGACTAACATATCCATATCTTACCATCTCACATGACTCAACTATCTCAGGGGATACTGCCACAGCTTTTTTCATGATGGAAGCTATCTTCAGCATGGACTGTACCATTTCACTGCATAGCCTATCAGATATTAGCTTATGCAGACCTAAGTGATTTCATTTCAATGGTGTGAAGCAATTGTTTTTCTCTATTCTTCTTTGGCCAGCATTGTGACACATTCATCTTGGATGGCATAATCATTTTTAAGCCATGAAAAAAATATTTAAAACAATTAAAAATAAGAAATGAAAACTCTTTTAACATGTTGTCAATTTCTTGTCAGCAATAAAAACTAAAACACAAATGGCAAATTTAAAATCCTCAGCTATTATATATTAATGTAGTTCTGTTGACTATCAAGATCTGCTGCATGACTTCCTTTAACTAATTGGCATCCTGCAAATACCTGTTGTATTTTATAAGATAGTTTTTCAATGAATAAGTCTAACAATATTGCAGATAGCTGGTCTTCAAGTCACTTGGCAAAGCACACTAACGCAGAGTGTGTAATAGCAGCAACAGCAAGAACTTTTAGAAAAAAGGGCGCACATGAGACTTACACTTTTAGGATTACACATAGAGACTCAAATGAGATGTGACTTTTAAACATCTCACACTCTTCATCTACAGCAATTAGGGACACATTTTTCAAATGCAGATGCCTAGAGTTAGATGCCTAAATCCATATTTAGGGTTCAATCTAGTCCACACTAAAGTCAATTTAAAAGTCACCATTGACATCATTGGAGCTAGGTCAAGCCAGCTAAGCACTCTTACCCCACTTTTTTCAACCATAGAATGATCTATAATGATAACAATACTTGGCATTTGCTAAAAACTTTTCAACATTGAATAAATTAATTAACAGTGTAAGAAAATCAGGAAGAAATTGTGTCATACAAACCTAAAAGCTTTCTAGAGAAGGGCAAAAAGGGTGAAATACAATAAGGACAATACAAAGTGCTCCACTTGTGATGGAGAAACCAGTTACACATACACAAAATAGGACATGACAGACTAGAAAGGAATACTATGGAAAGGGACCTGAGGATCATAGTGGATCACCAGCTAAATATGAATCAATATAGTTCTGCCACTGCAAAAAAAAAAAAAGCAAACATCATTCTGAGATGCATTAGTAGGTGCATTATAAGCAAAACATGAGAAATAATTCTTGCACTCAACTCTACACTGATGAAGCCTCAACTCGATTATTGTGCGCAGTGCTGGGTGTCACATTTCAGGAAATATGTGAACAAAGTGGAAAAAGCGCAGAGGAGATGAACAAAAATGAATACGTAGAAAACATGATCTATGAAGAAAGGTTGAAAAAATGGGTTTGTTTAGTTCGGAGAAAAGAGGAATGGGAAGACTAGTTACATATAAAAAATGGGAAATCACTGACTAGAAAAGAATACTGGGGAGAGAGACCTGGACCTACACTCCACCACAAGCAAAAGACTAGAGCAGCCAAATTATGGTTGATTGGACCCAGGTTTGTGTGCTGCAGGGTGCTTGCTGGAGGACTGTGTTTGGGGCTGGGTTAAACAATTCTTAACCCTAGAGATGGCAATCAGTGCAGATACTCAAGCCCTAAATTCTCAAATCCAGGGTTCACTGACTTGAGTTCCTGTAACCTGATGATTGTGTTGTAGTGTAGACATTCTCAACTTAAACCACAGTTTTCCAAAGCGATAAGGAGTCCTGTGGCACCTTATAGACTAACAGATGTACTGGAGCATAAGCTTTCATGGGCAAAGACCCACTTAGTCAGATGCATGTAGCGGAAATGTCCAGAGGCAGGTATAAATATGCAGGCCAGAATAAGGCTAGAGATAAGGCCTTGTTATTTGATCTGAGGAAGTGGGTCTGGCCCACGAAAACTCATCTCCTAATAAACCATCTTGTTAGTCTTTAAAGTGTTGCATAGTCCTGTCTTTTGTTTTTATGATAAGAGAATGAGAGCCTGTAAGAGTAGATAATAATTATGTCCTCACCTCAAGCATATGTCAGTATATTAATTTCTCATATTTGTTTCTCTTAGAGGACGTGGTGGTGCGATTCCTCCTCCACTACCTGGGAGAGGTGCCCAAACACCTAGAGGGACACCAGCAACACGTGGAGCACTTCCAGTTCCCCCTGTAGCAAGGGGAGTTCCCACCCCTCGAGCAAGGGGAACTCCAGCAGTCCCAGGTTACAGACCACCCCCTCCTCCAACACATGAGGCCTATGAAGAATATGTAAGTAAATATATGTTTTGATAGTTGATATAAGCCAAAATTCTTTGGCAACTTGGAGGTACCTCTGTATCTGAGGATTCTGCGTAGGTCTAATAAATGCCTACTTTGAAACACATATCTTTCACTTGTTGATATACACTATGCATGCAAAACTGTGATTTAAAAGACTGGAATCATTTGATAATATCTTTTAATTTTACAAGTATTAGCTTTGGTTAGGAGTGGGCCGAGTTATCTCAATTATCTTTATATTTTCATGGTTCATATGTCTTTCAAATAGTTTAATATAAATGAATAGAGCTAGGGAAAATAATACAAAATTATTTCTTTAATATTTTCAAGAAAATTGGGTTCATGTTTTGGGAAGACTGATATGCAGTGTTGACCAGATATTTAATTTGACTTAGGAGTCAAATGCAGTCATTTGTCTTGTTGAGCTGCTTCTGCCTTTTTATAAGATTTTACATATATAAAAAAATTAGGAATTATTGACATTTTTAAAATGTGTGATGCTTGTTATACCACTCAAAATACGTGTGCTGATTTTCAGAAATATGAAAAAGAAATATAGTTGAAAATATAGCTGGGTGCATAACAAAAGACCAATATATTTATTCCACAAAGCATATGAAAAATAAAAGACATTACTTTCTGTAAGTTAGTTCTTATATAATAGAAGGCTGCATTGTGGTGGAAAAAATGGCAATTTGTGTGTGCTTTTCAATGCTTTGAATTACTGTTCTTTCATCATATAGTTTATTGATTTTTATTTGTATTAAAATAAGAGTTACAAGGAGGACAAATCTATTTTCAAATAATCAGCATGCAAACTAAGGTCATAATACATATTTAACAAGGTACTGAAAACAATTATACTGTAAACTTAAGGTCTTTAAAATGATCCTTGATAATGTTCCTTCCTGAAACTATCACTATAACAACAATCAATCAAAAAGAAGGAAAGTATTATCAAATACAATGTCTGATTTTTTTAAACTACAAAAATTAAAAAATGGTTTATGTACATTCCCAACCCATGATAAGAAGTATCAGTAGGTGAAATGATAAGAAAATAGTTTATATGGAATTTAGAAAATAGAAAATCTCTAAAGTCAGACCATTTTATTATAACATAAGGTTTTGTAATCTCACGAAATTGTCTTTAAGGTGCCACTGGACTCTGTTGTTTTTTGCTGAAACAGACTAACATGGCTACCTCTGAAATCAGAGGCAGGAAATGCTGTCAAAATGGTTTACAAGCATATCAACAACATGCATTTGTAGAGTCCTGATATGCCACAGTCCATCAGTCATGATGAAAGACTATGGTATTGTTTTAAAAGTGAGAAATGAGTGTGTCCTAGTATTTGTACATATTCCACAGCGTGTGAGAGCATATCCAATGAACACACTGGAGAATTTTCTAGACAGCACTGTCTAATAGGGATAGGCATGTGTCCATCTTCTCCTTGTGCATTCTGGTGAGGATATAAAGGACAGAGTATGGGATCTAGAAAGAGAGGTAGGACCAAGCCAGAAGTCAGGATAATTGCACTATTTGAGTAGTATTTTCATTGGTCCTCTTTTTCCATCCAGCTTTCACCTATGGCTGCAAGTAGCTGCTTATTTGCTGCCAGGCTCACCAATAAGTGCGCGGGGGTGGATGGAAGGATGGCAGTAAAGGGGGCAGTTTCCTCATAATACAAAAGGGCCTGGTTCTCTCAGCTGCTGCTGCCACTAAAACAGAAGCAGAAGCTTCTGAAGCCCCATGCCTTTTAAATCACCACCAAAATGTGATGCAGCATGCTCTGGGTGGCTGTGAGGGCTGGCTGGGTGGGGCAGCGTGGTGCACTCTGGGCAGTGTGGAGGGCTGGCTGTTTCAGCCTCACCCCTTCTGCTCAAGGCCCCACCCCTTCCAGGAGTGCTGCACCACATCTCCCACCTTGCTCAGGAGCCTGGCAAGTTTGTCGGCTCCCCTGTTTGTAGCAGCAGCCACAACTCGGGACACTGCTTTCATTTGTGGGCTAAACCAATTAAAGGGTAACTGTGTCTTTTTCCAGCCTACTAAGTCCACTTTGTCCTTTTGGGTGAAGGGCAAGAAAAGCACTGCAACAAGATATTGTAAGATGCATAAGGCTTGACAAGGCACAACAGACATCAGTGGCTATCCACTGCAGTGATCTACAGCTTCAGCAACTGGGAGTGTGAGATTGCATCTAAGCAATGGTCTTTGCATTTAAAAATCTTTATGCACAGGCATTAATGCATCATTAAATAAGAAAATCCTGCTACAGTTGGAAAATGTTGAAGTGACAAGTGTAGCCTGTACATGATCTTTCTCTTCACAGACTTTGCAGCCACAAGAACTCAGGAGATGCCATGAGGTCACTGTAGATTATGAAAGACAGACATACTCTTTGATGAAAGCCAAATCCTGACTTTAGCTCTTGGGTCTTATGGCAGCTTGTGGGTTCATTAACCCACAGGCAAGGCTTTTCTTTCAGCAACTTCAGGCCTGGCAGTCCTTGATCTACTGCCCAGTCAAATACCATCTGGATAAGATGATGTTCCCTTCTTTCAGTCTTCTAGTCACTGGATTTGTGGAAGGAACCAAGCAGATGTCCAAAAAGAGACCCAGGCAATCCCAATTCATACTCAAGAACCATACTAACAGAAGCCTCAGCCTTCAGGTGCAGTGGGGATCATATGAGCAATCTCATAGAGCAAGTCTTAAGCTCTAAAATGCAGAGGCCTTGCAATCATTCTAGAACTCAGACTGTATTCAAGGCATATGTGTCTTTCTTTCTGTACATTTTCAACAGACAATCCTGGTCACATCTGAAGAACCAAGGGGTGGGGGGGAATAAGGACAAATGGATATCCATGTACCAAGAGTCTGTCTAGCTATAGAACAGACATTATCCTGACACAGATCCATCTCCCATCTTCAGTCTATTAATTTGGCATCATTTCTATACTTACATATGACTGGGGCAACTAATTGATGTTGTAATGATCAGAGTGCTGGATCAGTTGCTGTTGCTCAGCAATCTGTCCCAACCTCTTACAATATTTTTCATAGTGTGACCCTGTTGCAGATGGCAAATAAAAACGAACTCTTCAGTTGAGTACTTCAGTTGTTCAGCATCATCTTTATTGATAAAACCTGTGAGAGAGGATTCCATTCCTGTCATTTTTTCATTAAGACAGCTAAGATTGCTTGGTCAAGTCTTCACTTTTTATCATCTGCCTGAAATATAATGGTAAAATTAACAATCTTACAATATTTTAAACCCAGGATGAGACTTGTGGAAGCTACTCATACTTGACTTTGAGTCACATTGTGAAAGGCATTTGACTATGAAGCTGCCTTTTATCTCCCCTGACTCAGAAGTCATGTAGGCTGTGGTATTAGTTGTGCTTCACTCAGCAGATGTTGGCTGTTCTTTATTGTGAAGAGCTATGATCAATCTCTTACTGACATCTAGAATGAGATTAGACTTGCTTCATCATTTTCCCCTACAAAAGCCAGAAGCATTGGCCAATTTCCATTTAAAAGCTGAATACATCCCTGACTTAAATGTATCCTAATGTATCTAAGTTTGATTTGAATTTCCATTATTGGACTAAACAGGAAAGAGTCTGCAATACGTAAAACCTGATTCAGTGCCCACTGAAGCCAGTGAAAATTTTTCCACTAACTTCAGTGTATGTTCGATCATGTCCTTAATGCACCATTTCAGCTGAAATGAAAGCACAACATTAATTTACTCTACCACATTTCCACTCTACTTAAGGATCAGATGGTGGAACATCAGACTCTCTTTTCAAACAATAAACATATCTCATGTAAGGCTCTTCACATGTACCTAACGAATGGATGAAAGCAATTTATTCCTTAGCATGGTCACCTACATGAGCTTCATTTGGACCAAACATGTCCAAGGTTAAAGAGTAGTTTTTGGTGTCAATATTAGCTGAACATTTCTCTTAATAACTTCAAAAGATAGAGCTTGTTTATCTTTTGGAGTGACTGTAAAATAGTTTTTCTCTGAAAGTCCTTAATAAGAACCACAAGGAATGAGATAGGTTATGCTTTTAATGTCATGCTGTTCTTCCACTGTGATGCACATTTTAAACTAGTTAAAATGAAAGAAAGCAAATGTCACATTCAGCTGTTTACTCTAGTCTTTAATGGTTAATTATGTAGTTCAATAGTTTTCAAACAAACTGGAACAAATATACTACTGTTCATTCACTAGCAGCACAGGCAACAAATAGCCTAACAATAGGGGATACACTGTCGCATTTTAACATTTTTGAAAAGAATAGCTAATATTTTTATGTGACTGTGATTCTCAAACTCTGCTTGTGGAGGCTTTTACTTAATATTTAAATTAAAGCCTTTATGGTTTTGAAATAACTGTATGTCTCAAACTAGAGTGTGTCTAGAAACTGAGTATAAAGGTTTTTGCTTCATTAAATATTTCTGTCCAACCTAGTGCCTTAACCGATACTTTAAATGATTCTATTGATGCCTGACCTTGCCCACTTTTGAAGTAAATTGCAACATTCCCAATGGATTTTGTGAAAAGTGAGGCCAAGACAATTGAGGAGAAATATTTCAAATCATGTGCATGTAAAGATTGAACACAATTATACCTATGTGTGAATTTATTTTTACCAATTCTGGACTAAGGTGCTTAAAGAACATTTGTTTTCTGTGTCCATTCTGGCTGTTAAAATGATGAAAAATCTGCTGAAACCAAAGATTGTTTGTATAAAGCTGAAATTTTAGATGAGGAAATCTGCATCGTTGACTAGCCTATTGATTAAATTTGATTGATTGGCTATTATCCCCAAGTCACTTAAAGAGCTAAACTATATTCAACTAATATCTGCTGTGATTGGAAAAATCAAAATGTATTTTACAGTAATAGCAATAAACAGCATCATGATTATATTATCAGAAAGACTATCAGATGACTTTAGAAGAACAT